CTATCTATCTATCTATCTATCTATCTATCTATCTATCTAATTTGTCACCACCCATCTTGTTAAAAAGCGACTCTGGGTGGTTTACAGAAAAATCAATTAAAATACAATATAAAACAATCTTAAATAAGTAATAAATAAATTCCAAGGAATGATAAAATTGGTGAATAGCTCGGGGAATGTCATCAGGGCACCAGCCACCCCCATGATTACAAATCTTGTTGCCCCATGCAAGCTGACAGAGCCAGGTCTTGTCCTTTACGGAAAACTGAGAGAGTAGGGGCCCACCGCACCTCTGGGGGGAGAATATTCCAAAGGGCAGGGGTAACAGCAGAGAAGGCTCTCCTCTTAGGTCCCACCAACTGACATTCTCTCTCTGATGGGGTTCACAACATGCCCTCTCTGCCTGACTGGGTGGGATGGATTGATGTGACGGGGGCGAGATGGTCCCTCAGGTAACCTGGACCCATGCCATGTAGGACTTTAAAGGAGATAACTGACACCTTGAATTGGACCCAGAAGCAAACTGGTACCCCATGCAGCTCCCGCAGCAAAAGTGTTATATGTGCCATCCTCGGGGCACCCAAGATTGTCTGCACGGCTGCATTTTGAACCAGCTGTAGCTTCCAGATACTCTTTAAGGGGAGCTCCATGTATAGCACATTGCAGTAGTCTAACCGAGAGATGACCAGGGTGTGAGTGACTGCTGGAGAGCCTCCCGATCCAGGAAGGGGCGTAACTGGCACACCACATGAAGGTGGGCAGAGGCCCTCCTGGCCACAACTGCCACCTGCTACTTGAGTAGGAGTTGTGAGTCCAGGAGGACCCCCAGTTTATGCACCGGGTCTGTCTGGGGCACTGCAACCCCATCTAAAACCAAAGATGGTAAATTCCTGGATAGAGAGGGGCCTCTAGTCCATAGCCACTCCATCTTACCAGGGTTCAGCTGAAGCCTGTTGTACCCCACCCAGACCCCCACAGCCTCCAGGCACCGCAAAAGGGTGGTCACGGCACCAGTCAAGTCACCCGGGATGGAGATGTATAACTAGGTAACATCTGCATATTGATGATACCTTATCCCATGGTGACAGATGATCTCACCCAGTGGTTTCATGTAGATCTTAAAAAGGAGTGGAGACATTACCAAAACCTGTGGCACCCCACAATGGAGGGGTGGGACCTCTTGCTCCCAATCAACACCAATTGGGATCAACCTTGGAGGAAGGAAGAGAACCAGCAAAAAACTGTGCCACCCACTCCCAACTCCTCAAGTTGACCCAAAAGGATACCATGTTTTCCATCCTTGTTTTCCTCCCGAGGTGCTCTAGACGTCTCTTAACCCTTTTCAAGATCCTCAGCTCCTCTGTGAATCATGGGGAGTGTCAGGCTCAATGAGTCAAGAGAGGTCACGTGGGCATGATCTTGTCCAAGGCCTTGGCTGCCTTCCTATTCCAGGTAGCAGCCAAGGCCTCCACTGGACTGCAACAGACCTCAGGTATTACCCTCAGCTCCCTTTGGAACCCAATCGGTTACTGTGGGCCAACCAGTTGAATACGTCCCACTTCCCTGCAGAGGAGGGTAGCACAGGAGAATCTCCAGGCCACTAGGGTGTGATCTGACCATGACAAGGGGAACAGATATAATTCCTCCTTCAGATCATATTGCCACTGCTCTGACAAGAAAAGCAAGTCAGGTGTGAGGCCATTGTCCTGAGTCAGGTCATGAATAATCTGGGACTTGCCCATGGCCGCCGTTGTGGCCATGAACTCCCGAGTTGCTTCTGAAGCATGCCCTAGGGACAGCAGGTTGAAGTCCTCCAAGACCATAAGTCTGGGGAACTCCACCACCAGCCCCGTAATAGCCTCCAGCAGCTCAGGCAGGGAAGTTGCTATGCAGTAGGGAGGCTGGTACAGTAATAACAGTCCCAACTGTTCTCACGAACCAAACTTCAGGAACAGGGTCTCACAACTGGCCACTTGTGGATAGTGCCCCTGAAGGCCAACAGAGATTCCCAGATGACAACTGTTACTCCTCCTTCCCTGCCCTGGGGTCTCAGCTGGTGCCAGACCGTGAACCTGGCTGGGCACAATTCCGAAATGGGCACCCCCCCTTCAGGGCCCAGCCAGGTCTTGGTGATGCATGCCAGGTTGGCCCACTCCTCAGTGATCAAATCACATATAAGGGGGGCCTTGTTGTTGACTGACCTGGCATTAAGAAGCAGCAGCCGAAAGCCAGGGCCTCCGTGGGTCTGCTGTCTGGGGCCTGGGTCTGAGTCTAGAGGACCAGAACATGCCACCAGTAACAAATACCAGGGGTGTATTCCCTGAAAGCAGCCTGCCCTCTGACTCCTGTCATAACATCATCTCCCTGTCACCACCTGAATGGTATAACCCACCCTAAATCCCCCAGGGCCTCCAGTTCCTCCTGATCCCGGACCTCTGGTCCCCATAGTTAGGGGACCCTCCATCCTACCATCCACTAACACATAATCAATCAGGGGATGGTGGTGGGCTCCCTGGCACTTCAGCTCCCACTCTTAGAGCTGTGGAAGTCCTACCCCTCACCCCCTTCACCCATTGTGCCCCCTTCACCAGCTTCTTTCACTGGCCAGTAGGGGCACCCAATCCATCTCCCCACCACCCCGACTCTCACTCAGGGACGAGTATCCTCACTCACCCACATGCTCACCCACACACTCAACCAAACATCTTTGGACTCCCCTCCCCATCTCTCACACTAGGGAGGGAGGCCCAACTAACATCCACTGGAGGGTCCCATTTATCTGTTGCCTTCCCATTATTTCCAGAAAGGCTTAAAACTCACCCTGAATACTGAGGAGGTCATCAACAGCGCACAGGAAGTCCTTCAAATCCACAGTCATATCTTCTGTAAGGTTTAAAAAAATAGACTTGACAATAAAGATGCTCCCATGAAGATGCTTTTATCTTAATAATTGATAGATTATTTCAACATTAATCTCATTTTGTTGATAGTTGCTTTCCTCTCCTCTGGAAACTTTCATTGCTCTCTATCAATAAGTCAGCAGCATAAAAATATTAGAGACACCACCTTTCAATCTAGAAAAAGTATAGATAGTTGAGCAGGGACAGGTGTCTGCAGGGTTCGGTTAAAAAAAGACAAGATGGCAGCCACAATGTTCTGATAGAGATTCCACCTGTTTTTTATGTGTGTTGACACCCTGGAGCAGGTTGCTGATTGGTGAAGCTTCTTGATAGTCTGATTAACAGAAATAACCCAGGAAAGTTCTGGATAGCTGGTATGGGAAAGCAGCACTGAGGTTCAAATTATATGTAAAATAAAACCCATTCATTTTTTCCCCCATGTATTTTTTAAACTCAGAATAGTCCTGGGTAGATTGTACCTGAGAGACATAAAAGTAGTCAGATAATAGTTGATTAACATTTCCATTTTTTGTGGATTTTTTCAAAGTTCAGGATAATTCTTTGCAAGCTGCTTTTCTAGATGGGGGAAAAGATATGATTCTCTGGAAGCCTAGAAAGGGGATGGGACATTGCTTCTCCATATGTCTAGTACTCACTATTAAGGGTTGTCCTTTTAAGAACCTCCTCAATCTCCTCCTCTGATAGGTGAAGGCCCGTATCAGCTAGGATGGAGCACAACGTGTTGACATCTACTCTTTCATCTTGAATGGAGGGATCTGTGCGTTAGAAGAGAAATATTTAGTAGGCATGTATTGAATTCCAAATAATGTCAATCAGTTTAATCAAATATATTTCCATAAATTTTGTTATTGATTCTTGTGCCATTTCAATGCATTTTCCATTTATTTATTTATTTATTTACTTACTTACTTACTTACTTACTTACTTAACTAGTTAATTCAATTTAGGTGCCTCCCAGCTCCAAACCAACTCTGGGCAGCTCATAATATAGCAAACAAAATAAAAACACAACCCAACAGAAACAGACAAGAGGGATTCTAGCCACTCCAAGGAGCTCCATTCACCTTACCCCAAGGCCTGGGGGAACAGCCAGGTCTTCAAGGCCTTTTGGATACCAAGAGGATAGGAGCCACACTACTCATTACAGAGAGCAAGTACCACGACAGAGAAAGCATGCTTGCTGGGTCCCGACAGATGGCACTGTTTAATTGATGGGACACAGAGCATGCCAGTTCTCTCAGTTTGTACTGGCTGGGCAGAAACCATGGGAGATTGGCAATCCCTCAAATAACTATGCCATGTAGGGCTTTATAGGTAATGTCATGGCCCAGGACTCTGACTCTGATCCTGAAGAAGCTGCTCCAGCTGAACCAGTGGAATGTCAGTCTCAGGAGACACCAAGCCAGGAATCACTTGTGGCTGATCAAGCACAGGCATCATGGGAACAGCTGGAGCAGTCAGATGATAACGTATGGCCTCCAGGTCCTTGGACTCGGCGAGTATAGTAGGGAGCAGAGCAAGGATGCTCAACGAGGCTCCTTGCCAAGCAAGGGAGTAACTCTCTTAATTAAAGACAGCTGGCTGCAGGCTGATTTAAAAGGCAGCCCTGACCTGTGTTTCTCCGTTGGAAATAACTGTCTGATCTCCTGCTCTGGTGTGTCATTCCTGTGAATTCTGCTCATGAACCCTGAAACCCTGACCTTCGGACTGGCTGACAAACCTGACTTGGCTCTCTGAACTTTGGATTTAGACTTTTTTTTTTTGCAGGTTCCTGTTGAAAGTGAAACTACCTAGGCAAGATTTCTTTCCCAGAGACTGTTTTGATTTACATTCCTTTCCTTCTCTGCTGGTTAACTACTCAGCCTTGAGTAAATTGCTATTCTTGCCTAGCAACTCTGTGTGTATGAGTTTGAAATCTGAAATGGACAGGTTTGGGGGCGGGGAGGAAGAGATGCTGCCTAGGGAATGATCTGATAAAAGGGGGAAGAGCCCCTAACTGAGTAATGGACAGAGAAAGAAACTTAGGACACACCCTAACTGATCAGGTGGTAAATAGGGATGGTGGGAGATCTGTACGTTCAGACTTGCAAGATTCTGTTAATGTAGCCTATCAATAAAGTGGAAGTAGCTCATCTGGTTATGTTTCCTGTCTGGTTTACTTGGGAGAGCTGACATATTTTGAATCACACCTCTGCATTCTGGACTAGTTGAGGCTTCCAAGAGGTCTTAAAGGGTAGCCCCATGTACAGCATTGCAAGAGTAGAGCTGTGAGGTGACAAGGGCATGAATGAAGCAATTCACTCAAATCTTTGGCTTTTTGAATTGAATTAGAACGTAAGTTCAAAGAGCTGAACTGGATGCCTCCAAATTGATTTGGATAATTTGGACACTTTTCTGTATGTACAGAAATGATTTTTCCTAATTGATTCACCAATACAAATCATGTTGACCTATTTTAACAAGTGAGTTTGACTGTCCAAATTGGATGAGATTTATTTTCTAAATCAGAGCTGGACTGCTTTTCTAAATCAAATCAGCCACTGAAATGAATTTTATCTTATTTGCCCAGGCCTAGATTGACCTCCACAGGAGCAATTGGCCCATATTCTTTCTTCTCTGGGAAAGGAGTCAAGATCTTCCTCTTTATCTGGGCCATTTCAATTAGCTGCAATTGTCTTTTCCCCCTGTTTTCTGTTGTTAGTCACTTCAGGTCCTCTGGGGTGGAAAGGCAGGATCCAGACTGAACCAATAAAGCTGATAAATAAGTTTCTCTTTGATATTTCATACAAGATAGACACTGAAGAGACTATGATAAAGACATTAGGAAGGATAAGAAGAACCTGTGTTTGGTTGTTTTCCTGCTCCAAACTCATAACCGTTTTTTTAATCCCACTAGGATAGGGGGAGGCAATCTTTTTTGGCCTGGAGAATTGTACACTCTAAAAAACACCCTTTGGCTTTTGAGGACTTGCTTGGGATGCATATCAGGTAACACAGATGGACTATTGCAGTGTGTTCTACATGGGACTGCTTTTGCAGATGATCCAGAAACCACAGCTGGTACAAAGCAAAGTAGCTAGAGTACTGGTGGATTGGCTGCACCAGTGTGGTAACACCCATTTTACACTGGTTGCCAGTAGGCTCTTGGGCCCAGTTAAAAGTGATGGTCTTTACCTTTAAAACCTAGATGGTAGAGCACCAGGTTATTTCAGGCAGTGGCATGCCAGAATAGAATCTGACCACCCAATTCAGTGAATGCAAGAGATCTGCTGTGAGTCCCCTTGCTTCCTGAAATACATGGGGTATGGACAAGGTAGCAGACCTAGCCAGTAGGTGCCCCACTTTATAGACCTCTTCCCCCACAGAGGTACATGCAGCTCCATCTTCCTGGCTTTTCACAAGCAGATTAGAACACTTTCATTCAACTATGCCTTTGGCTCATGCTGACTGGGGGGACCATGATGGGCTTTAATAGGAACTGTATTGCATTAATTGTGGCTTGTTCTAACTGTGTAGGTTTGGTTGCAATGTTAATTGCCCAAAGTTGTCTGGGAGTGGGCTGATTTAAAAATGCTGTCAACAAACACAGTATCTCCACGTGCTCAACACCAACAACTTAAAGGGCTTTTGCATTTGTTGGCAGGTTTTACAGGGCTTAAGGGTGGAAACCGATGCCTCTAACGCTTCTCTGAAAAGCAAAACAATAATGAAACCAAAAGTTAGCTATTTTGCCAAGGGCACTGTGGTTGGGGGTGCTTGGGGCTACAAAATGCAGACTGGGAGGGGTATAGTAGGGGAACATTTATAGTACAGAAGCATTTGAGACAGAAAGTAACCAGCGGGGGAACAAAACCACCTCTCCCCTCCCATCCTTTTGGTTCTGATTTCAACTTCAAGTGGCTTCTTTAAAGAGTGTACACAAGGAAAAGAGAAATAATAACTTTCTGGAAAATTAGGAAGTAAAATATAGTTTGTCCATAAAGCACTTGTTTCCTGCTTTCAGTCTTCAGCATGGCCCCTGAAACATTAGACCCATATTATCATATATCATATCATATCATATCATATCATATATCATATATCATATATCATATATCATATATCATATATCATATATCATATATCATATATCATATATCATATATCATATATCATATATCATATCATAGCAATATATTATAATAATTTGTATTAATTGAAATGGTCACACAAGCATGAAATGTTTCAACAAAACATCTTAATACATCTGTAGTGTTATGATCAATTTTATGCCTCAGCTTACCCATTTGCTCGTTCCCCAGGATGGCATATACACCTCTCTCAAATGCTTCCCTGCCCACCATCCCATCATCTGCAAGAAAGAAACCAAAAGCAGGGGTGAAATGAAATAGTCCTGGATTGAACTCTAAGCCCAACTGAGTCATCTGCAGTTTCAAGTGGGAAGGCTGAAGTGGAGTGGAATGGAGTGGAGTGGAGAAGGGAGGTGAATGTAGGTGTGTGTGCTGGGGTGGGGGAGAATAAAATTTAGTTCAGCTTTAGTACAAATTGCTAAGTGTCTAAGAAGAGGATAGGCAGAACTTTCAAGGCTGAAACAAGTGCCTATAGAAAAGAATCTGTACTACTTTAACACACAGTAAACTCTTGGGCTGAACT